AATTCTTACATCATTTTTCATTTTTGCACAATGTATGCATTTACATTTTGGATATATTCCCCATACAATTGCACCCCCTCTTATTTTGACCCTAATTCTTCCTCTCCCTGCCCCTCTGCCCCACCCCACTCCCTCGCAGTGTGTCTCTGGTCCATAGTTGCTTGTTGATTTGATTTTTACTTCATATTAATTAGTCTTTTTCCTGGCCTCTTATTTAGATTTTCTAAATTCCTGCTATGAGTGAGACCGTCTGGTATTTTTCTTTTTCTTTCTGACGTATTTTGCTGAGCATGATCCCTTCTAGCTCCATCCATGTTGCTGCAAACTGCATGTGTTTATCTTTTTTGATTGCTGAGTAATATTCCATGGTGTATATGTACCACACATGATAATTCTTTAAATATACCAAATATGTACATACCTTAGTTAAAAATACATACTTTTTTTTTTTTTTTTTTTTGCTAAAAACAATCTGACCATCATTTGAACATTCAGGTGTTGATATTTTTTGCTGGTGAAGGGTCTTAAAAAATGTAACATCTGTAAAGTGTAAAAAAAGGATGTATGTGTATATCCATTCACTATCTCATAGTTTTCATGAATCAGGAGTACACTTTAGTGGGGTCTTCTGCTCAGAGTATCACAAGGCTGCAGTGAGTCAGCCAGTCTCCCTTTTTGGAACTCAGGCTTTTCTTCCAAGCCCATGTATTTTCTGGAAAAATTCAGCTTCTTTTGGTTGTAGGCCTGTGGTTCCTGTTTTCTTGCTTACTGTCTGTCAAGGACCAGTCTCAATTCCTGAGCCCCTTTTCATGCTCTTGATTTATGGCACTCTCCAGGGTCCTCTCATAACATGATGATTTGCTTCTTCAAGTCAGCAGGGTGTCTCTCTGACTTCGCAGAGGCACACTTGACTTCTTTTGAAGGACTCAACTGATTGAGTCAAGACCAGCCAGAGAAATCTTGCTTTTTGATCAACTCAAAGTCACATGATTAGGGACAATAATTTACCACTACAGATTTCCCCTTCACACCTAATATACTGCAAATATCATAACCGTGAGACTGACAATCCATCATATGTACAGGTCTCACCCATATACAATGTGTACTTTACAGGGCAAATGGTCATTTTACAATTCTGCCTACTACAGTGCTCACTACTGAAGAATGAATTTCTCCAATATATTTTTTCCCCTTACAGTGGCTTAGAGGCTTGTTTACTTTTCAGAGACTTATGCTTTTACAGTGTTATATTTAAATAATTAGTAACTCCTGCCTAGTTTTAAACTTTTATAGTGTCAAGTTCTTTTATATAACCTTTGGTTAGAATAATTGACTCTACACATCAATACAAATCTTACTACTTTTTTTTCCTCATTGAAGTCAACTTTCAAATTGACTTTTTAAAGATTGTAGAGGGAGTATCTGCTGGGGATATAAAGACCAGAGTAACATATCTATCTTCAATAAACTGTAGCTTAGTAGGGATCCTAAATTAAGATCAAACAAATAACTAAGAAGACAAAGTGAGCTTTCTGTCATGAGAGAAGTTATAGGAATATATATATGTGTATGTATATATGAATGTTTAATGATATATATCTCACAAAATTTTTATTAATCCAGATGCACATTCCTTAACATATTTTAAAATACTTTTAAGACTCTTACCACAACATAATAATTACCACAAGATAAAAATTACTTTTGCTAGGTAAGCAAGCATCATCTCTGTTTCAAATAAGGAACAGAGCCAGGTACTTACTCTGTTCCAACCCAAGGTTGGAATCCTGAAATTATGACTCATCTGTGTGTTTTATGATTAACTGTGTTTTTTTGTTTTTTTGGGTTTTTTTTTTTTGTGGGACCCTCACCGGCAGCCAGGGAACGAACCGGCGCTGCAGAGGCTGAGGGCAGCCTTCAGCCCAGCGCTCAACCACTGTGCCACCAGGGGAGGCCCGATTAACTGTGGTTTTAATATAATATGACTTAAGTAATTTAAAATCTTTGATTGGGGGCTTCCCCTGGTGGCGCAGCGGTTGAGCGCTGGGTTGCGAAGCTGCCCGTAGCCTCTGCGGCGCTGGTTCAATCCCCGGCTGCTCCCCGGCCACCGGAGGAGGGTCCCACATGGCGCGCAGACCTCTCCTGCCGCCCGCTGCTCCCCTCAGCAGTGTACTTCGGTCCTTCTGCCTGTTCTTCTCCCCGCTCTGGCTCTGGTGAATTCTCTCACCCTCCCGCGCTTCTGACTGTACCCAGTGCTTGTATAAATAAATAAATAAATAAATCTTTAAAAAAAAAAAAAAATAAATAAAAAAAATAAAATCTTTGATTGGACATAAAAAGTCCATAACATAGAAAAAAGTAACATGTTTTAATAAAGAAGCAAAGCAATTTATTAAGGAATCTTATTTATTGTTAGATTCCATAGCATATCTTTTTAACGAGGTTACCACAGATATTCTTATACACCGAACCAAGTGTAAACAAAAGAAAGTTATTTATACTTCTTGTTTCATCTATAGCAATTCTCCAATAGGAAAGAGTACTTAAACTAAGAGAAGTTAATAATAAAGCCATAATTATTTGTTCAAAATTCTAAAGGATGATCATAGGGTTCTAAACAGATTAAATATAGGCCTTACATGTTTCTGTTATTTTAACAGGTGCTCTGTAGCATTTCTAGGCATATATAACTCCTTTTAGAAATATATTTTAAAGAGTCAGATTTTAAATATTCTTATCAAATGATGACCAAATCAAAACATTTTGTTTGCTTCTGTCATTTCAGTATTTCTTCACATACTGATTTTTTTTGTTAAATTGAAATTAAAATTTGCATATGTATGTCTTTATAGAGAAATACATTTTTTGGCTTGGTCTTTCCTGAGTAAGTTTATATATTTATAGTGATATAATCTGCCACTGTGGAAGGAATAGACAGAAATTTAATGGCATTCATTTTTAACAAGTGACAGGAGTCACCAAGACTGTTCATAGGAAGAAAAGAGCATCATCAAAGTTTAGTGTTCTTTGTTGCCTGATATTACACCTAGAATTGTACCATTGAGTTAAGTCTTACCAAATTGAAGTATCAGTTTAATTTAGATACAGAAGAGTAACTTCATGATTGATAAATGCTCTAATGCATATTTGTTAAGCAAAGCTTAACTGATTACTATTACATTACTAGTGAGTATCTTAATTTATTGATATATGGTGATAAACTAATGGAAAGTTTATAAATACAAACTGAAATCAATATGAGTATTGTACCATAAGTGTTACAAATAGACTTAAATTTCTGAGACCTTTCTTTGATTCTTACTGTATGGAAGATATGGTTTTAGATACTAGGGGGAATACAAAGGTGAGCAAACAAAGGCACAGTCATCCACAGATTTACTTGACTTCATGATTGAAGAAACAGGCACACTACTATGAGAACTGAGAGAAGGAAAAAGCTACCTTGTTGATGAAAAAGAGGACAGTCTAGAGAACGCTTCATAAAGACAGAAATACTAAACTGCTCCTTAATTATGAAAGATTTTTCAGGCAAGAAAGTACCATTGTAGAACCACTCATGTAGAAATGGCAGACAGGTTTGGGGAGTGGTAGGCAAGTTTGACTTTAGATGATGTCTGACTGAAACACAAACTAAAGATAAGCCTTAGAGCCTTATTTAAACCATAGACATCTGAGCTTTATTCTGTTGGGCCCAGGAACTCCTGGAAGGTTTGGATAGGGAATAACAGGAAATGTAATTGGAGTATTTTATAAAAATCTATGGAAACATGCTTTTAGCTCATAAGTTAAAATATAACCAAAGAAACAGTTTTTTAACTAAAACGTATTCTTCATTTCACCAAAACACAGTTTAGTCTCAAATATATCAAGCCCTACCTTTTATCAATCTGAAATATTCATTTAACAGCATACACTGAATGCACAAATACATAAATAATTATGGACCTGCTGGTACAGTTTCTGGAAGTGTTTAAATTTAGTGTTAGTACTTAAATAACTTGTTATGTCCCATATTTATATTACTGTACATGTCAGCTACATCTTTTGCTGTTTCTCATTAGGATTCTTAACAAAGAAAGATTTTTTTCTCCTTTGAGAGATTTCAGTACCATTTTGTCTAATTGTTCCTTATGTTACACTACCATATTATAAGCTTCTTTGGAATAATAAAATAGTAGTGCAGTTATCCTCTTAAGGAGCTCGGTTGTTATGCCATTACAGCTTGGTGGCATTCTGCTGACTACAGATTGTTGAATGAGAAGGGCTTACATGAAGACAATTTCTTTTATGCTGTTTCATTAAAAACATTACCAGTATGTCATTTAATAAAATGTTTATGTTATTAAAAATTCACATGCAAGGAGTTTAGTGCAATCTACCTCGACATTACAAAAAGGAATTGTCAGCTATCAATCACATGTACTAGATTGAGCAAATTTGTTTGTATGCTATTTATTTGAACTAAATCTCTAATAAGCCTCTTCTGCTAATTGGACTTAACATTTATGTTGCTAAATGAGAAGCGTTTTGGCTGCTGTATAGGGTGGTAAGACCTACCCAATGGAATAAACAACTAGCATCTGTTATCCCTTCCTGCTCCAGCTTGGCTTTTACCACTTAAGTACATCAGCCCTGAAGTCAAGGTTATCAAATATGTGAATCTCTGGCTCACCCCCATTATATGCAAAGGCAAAGAAATAGAACATCATGAGTAAGACCAGCCAACCAAAATATATTAAGTACAGCTGGCCCATTTTATTTTAACCTTTACAAGCCCTACTGCCTTAACAACCTTTAGCAAAAACTTTAATTGGATTTGTTATTTTTGTGAAGTTTTACAGTATCTACTTTTATAATTAATTTCACTTTAGCATTTTCCTACTTGTAGAATGTTACACTGGTGGTTGTTAGATGGAATGCAATTACTTTTATAATAGATTTATATTTCTTTTCTTAAAAAAAAAAAACAAAAACAGAAACTACATTTGGATTTGGCTGGACTCCGGAAAGAGAAAGAAGACTTACTAAAAAAATTGGAATCATCATCTGAAATCACAAGTTTGACAGATGAAGTTTCCCGAATAACAGCTTCACGGATACAGGGTACATCACTTGGTTCTTCAAGGAGCATGGATTTGGAAATGAAGCAATTGCAGTGTAAACTAAAGGTGATTATAACTTTTAATAAAAAGGTGAAAATATACACTAACTTACAAATATAAATGCACTTTTTATCAATTCTTATTTAATTCTACTAATAAAGGTAACTTACATTATAAATAATCCAAAAATTGTTATACTACATTTGACCTCAGTTTTCTATTTTAGCCTGAAAAATTCTTATATGGTAACTCATAATACTATTTTCTGAAAAACTGACAAGACACCATGATAGCCTAACTTAGGAAATGGTAGAAACTGGCCATGATCCTTTCGTCCCACTACTCAACTCATCAATCCCCCCATTCTCATTGCATTAAACAGAATTCTGTTCAAACATGTAATGTATCAACATAAATAGAATTGCTCTTCTGTACATATTTGCTAACATTTTAATTTGGTTGTAAGTTGGAGATGGGATAGGAAAAGGAAAGTATAAGGAGAAAAAAGCACAAGGCAAAGGAAGGTTGCTTGAATAGATTTCATCAAGTTAAACCTGAAAGGAAGAATAAAAGCATGCTCCTTTTATTTATAAAGAGTTGTGTTTAAGCCCAGATGAAGCAGTACACAACTCTAAAGTAAGGCTGACCTTAGTTTAAGTAGAATTATATGGTGTGAAACAAAGTTTGTGAGTTTTAATTTGAAAGTTCATTTTCATGCTACTCAAAACAAACTCATTTATTCCTCACATATTTTATTTTTCCTTCAATGGGGTTTGCCATCTAGAGGTTAACAGGACAGAGTATATGGTACCATAGATATAATGGGAATCACTAGAAGGAAAATTCTGGCTGGAAATACACAGAATACATTAGGAATAGAATAACCATGACGTTAAAAGGATATTAATGTATTGAGTTATCGGTTAAACTAGTGTTTTTAATGAAATACATGGTATGCACTGTCCAATAATATTTTTAAGTCAAGGATTACTAAATAAAATAAAATGGGATAGAATTTAAAGTAAATGAGTAAAATTGTGTGAAAATATTTTGCTTTATTAATAAGTACACATACTAGCATTAAAATAAATGTTTCTTTTTTCCCCTTTTTTAATTTTATATATATTTTACATCATTGTTCATTTTTGTACAATGTTTACTTTCTCCTTTCAGGTGTAGTCCCTGTAAAATTCCCACCACCAAGTCACCTGTGCACCATCACCACAGTCCTTGTGGTCTTCCCTCCCCTGTTTTGATCCTTCTCCTTTCCTATCCCCTGTGGAATGTCTCTGATTTATAGTTGCCTGTTGATTTTGTTTTTTCATTTATTATAATTACTTCTCCCTTATTTGGTTCCCCTACATTCCTCCTCTAAGTAAAACCATCCAGTATTTTTCTTTTTCGTTCTGACTTATTTCACTGAGCATAATCTCTTCCAGCTCCATCCATGTTGCTGCAAATGGCATGAGTTTATCTTTTTTGATTAGCAATAAAATAAATGCCTCTTGATTAACAACTTCAGACAGTTTTTTATATGCCAAACTTGCCACAGCCACAATACTTAAGTTTAAATATCTTATATAATAAAAATGTGAGAAGTCATAGCTGTGCAAGTTTTGGCATAGGTATACTATCTTAAAATGTATTTCTGTCTGAACAAAAGTGGATTAAAATATATAAAGTGAGCATTCAGTGTATAGGTTTCTAGATACAGGAGATAAAAATCATTGGATATTCTTTAATTCTTTGATTTTATTTACTGCAGACTGTAATTCATAGTTTGGTGATTCCTCTTATATTCAAGTTTTCATGATCCTAACATAACTTGATTTTTCACCAAAATGAAATAGAATGTTAGATCCAATTATATCCAATCTAATTAGTAATTTTTTTTAATTTATAGCAATTTAAGTTGATTTATGTTTTACTTATCTGATTTTAGTTCCTCCTTTGGTCTAATGTGATTTTTATCAATAGGCCCAAATGAATATGTTATTTACATTACTCTTTCCCTCATGGTGTAAGTTGTTATCCATATGCATATCTCTTTCACTTTGGATGATTTTGTGAGTCACAAGGGTAAAACTGGTAAGAATGCCTACAGCAATTTAGACCATGGTTATAATAGTTTAAAGTGGCATTGTCCAGGGCCTCCCCGGTGGCGCAGCGGTTGAGTGCTGGGTTGCGAAGCTGCGCACAGCATCTGCAGCGCCGGTTCGATCCCCGGCTGCCCCCCGGCCACCGGAGGAGGGTCCCACATGGCGTGCAGACCTCTCCTGCCGCCCGCTGCTCCCCTCAGCAGTGTACTTCGGTCCTTCTGCCTGTTCTGCTCCCCGCTCTGGCTCTGGTGAATTCTCTCACCCTCCCGCGCTTCTGACTGTACCCAGTGCATGTATAAACAAAACAAACAAACAAACAAACAAATAAATAAAACATGCCTCTATTAAAAAAAAAAAAAAAAAGTGGCATTGTCCATATCCAGACTACAGTCCTAGAACATTGACCAGGCTGCAATAGTGACAGAAAAGATAAATCTTTTGTTTTATTTTGTTTCATGTTTTAATACAGAAATATCTTAGAAGACCAGGTACCTTTTATTACAAAAGACTCCCTACTACAAATTTCTGCTTTGATACTTTATTACTTTGTTAGGGATGCTATAACAAATTACCACAGAATGGATGACTTAAATTATTTTCTCATAATTCTGGGGAGGTTCAAAGTCCAAGATCAAGGTATCAATAGGTCTGGTGTCTTGTGAGGCCTCTCTCCTTTGCTTGTAGTTGGCCACCTTCTCACCATGTCTTTACTTGATTGCCTCTTAGTCTGTGTAGTCTAATCTTTTCATATGAGAACATCAGTCATATTGGGTTAAGGCCCACACATGTGACCTTATTGTACCTTAATTCCCTCTTTTAAGTAGCATTTTGAGGTACCTAGAATTAGGACTTCCACATATGAATTCTGAGGGGCCACAGTTTAGCCCATAAGAGTATCAAACTGCTCATATAATGGTTTCCCAAGAAATAGCTTATTTCTAGTTGATGTTTTTATGCTTAACTAAGAAAAACTTAGAATGAGAATTTATTAAAGATCTATATACATCTTTTTATTTTATCCAATTAGTATTATAATTTTTATGTAAATTCTAAGATCAGTGTTCTTCACGGGTATATGTATTCATTCAGTATGATTAGAGTGTACATGTGCATTTCTGTATCCTCATTTTTATCCATATTAGACATAGATCCTTGAGATACCCAAGTTTATATACACAAGTAATAAAATAATAAACATATAAATTCTTTCCTGTAAATGATAAATCCTTCAGTTATTTATATTTATTTGTAGTTCTTCATATAATCAGTATTGAATGGCACTCTGATTTATATTGATGAATTTTTGATTTTCTGATTACTGAAAGCATTTGTCTTGGTATGTACCATGTTATTGTTCAGTTTGCCCATCAGTAATGAAGTATAGTAATTTTTGAACTACTGATCTTAGGTGTCACTAATATATTGGATATAGAGAAACCAAACTAGGAGTTAGATAAAGAAAAGCTTTAAAATACCACAGAGCTGTGCTCCTTTGAAAAACAAATATTTATGTGTAAATGTTTTGATAATAAGTAGTATTGTTAATAATTCAAGTAAGAAAGTACTTAATAGTGAAAACATTCTCTGTCAGTTATTTATTGTTTACAAACTACCCTAAAACATGGCAGCTTAAAACAACAGCAGTTTGTCATTTCTTATGATTCAGTAGGCCCTGTGTGGCCTTACCTCTATAGTACTTGCAAGAGATTCCACAGAAGTTTTTAATAGGTTAAGGTATTTAGGCCCAAGATCTAGAACTTTCCTGTTGTCATTTCTGCCACATTGCTTTGGTCAAAGCCAATCACAGGCCTGTACAGATTCAAAAGTCTGGGAAATGGATTCCTCCTTTTCATGAAGAGAAGTAGCATATATCTGACCAAATTAGTCTGTTACAAATTATTTAGTAAATCCAGCATTAGTTTCAAGTTATCTTATTAAACCATTAAAATAATTTGAATGTATACTCTTTGCAGTTGTTAAATAATTGTGTTCCTCTATGGTTTTGATATGTTACATAGGAATTTTAGTATACCACAGAATTTCTATTAGAACATATGAAATAAAACATTTAAAAATATTAAAATGTTCATTTTATATAACCTAAAATATTGCAAATTTATTATTCTACATGATAATGTCATTTATTTTCATGCTGCTTTAATACAGGATTGAAAGATATATTGAAATTTATGTGTATTTCTACTCTAGAATGCAACTAATGAACTCACTAAACAGTCATCTAATGTGAAGTCTCTGAAATTTGAACTCCTAACAAAAGAAGAGCACATAAAGGAAATGCAGGAAAAGTATGGTCTTATTTTTATCCATTGTATTTGGTGCCACCTAGTGGCAGTTAATTCTATTAGCCATTACACTCCAAGAAAACATGACAACATGTTACAAATTAAGTTTTCCTTCCTTAGCTCATGTTTTGATAAAAGTTTAAGGAATATTACATATATAGAATGTCTGATAGGGATCTAATTAATATTTTTTAATTATAATAAGCACACTTAAAGTTAGATTTTCCATCTTAAACATTTAATTTTGAATAAATACAAATTAATGGTCATAAACAATAAACTTTAGACTGTGGTAATTACTTGACCAAACATATATGTGTAAGTTGATCCTTACATTTGATTTAAAGTGAAATTATCTGTATTTAAAATAACTAAGTGGTTATGAAAATTTTTACTTTATATGTATAACTATGAAAAGGGGCTTAAAATGCTCTCTCACTGAATCAAAATTATTTTTCCTGGGTCTTTTATAGCTATACTAGAGTTACAGGTTATAAAATGTTTTGATATAATTTTCGTCTATTATTTAAGATCTATATATATTAAAATAATTTGACTTATTTGTTCAAATCATTTACATTATGTATATATAATTTATAGATATAGAAATATGTATATATCATATTCATACATGTATGTCACAATATAAGTGAAGAACACTTAAAAGTGACATTTTGACAAAAAGATTGATTAATTTAATAAATTGACATTTATTTCTAGATTAAGAGGTATTCTTGCTTAATTGTTTAACAATGAGAGTTCCAAAAAGAACATTCTTTGAACTCTGGCTCTTCTACCTGCTAATTATGCATCTCAATTTAATAGTGTTAATTCATAGTTTTTACAATAATCAAACGAGTTAGTATATAATATAGCAACATAGTAAGTGTTCAAATGTTAACTATTATTCTTATTACAGCAATAATAACAGTAGTAATATTGCATTTACCATTTTATACTTAATATGTTATCAACTGATGTTTAATTCCAAATTACAAGCTATTGTGCTTAATTTTAGTGTCTTTATATAATATTGTAAGACTTTACATTTGTTTATTAAAGTATAGAACTGTTTCTTACAAATATCACTTTGGTTTTCCCTAGCAAGCAATACTAGAATGCAGTTTTTAAATTACTGAAATAGTATTGTGTTATATAACATTATATAAGTTTCAGGTGTGCATCATTGAGATCAACATATGTATATACTACAATAAGTTCTGCTAAAAATTCAGTTTTAACTTTCACCATACCATTGACCTCTTTTTCCCAATTTGGCCTCTCCTCCCTTCTGATAATTTAAATATAATAATTTTGTTTTCATAAATTTTATTACTATTTCTCAGCTCTTTTATTTTTATGTTTTAATGCATAGTCAGCCCTATAATTGCCAAGTTACAATTGGATTGTATATTTTAGAAGTATTCACATTATTAATAGAGCAATATTGGATTCTATGCAATTATTTTATTAATTTGTAATTTAATTAATATGTCATTTAAAAATTAAAAGTAGGCAGAACATTAAAAGTAGCTATAACATTGGATAACATGTAAGATACCTTCATTGTTAAAGTACTTTCTATCATTCTTGATAAAAACGTCTTTTTTTTCTCTTTCAAGAATGTCTCGAATGGAGAGGGATATAACCATGAAAAGACATTTGATAGAAGACTTGAAATTTCGACAAAAAGTAAATTTGGAAAGTAATGAGAGTATTAATGAAATGTTAGAAAGTCTTGAAAAAAAGGTAGCAACCTTTATTTTTCATATAAAAAAGTTCCTCATGTATTTTTTTCCTTCAATTGAACATTCAGTCTTTTTTTTTTAAATAAGTTCTGTGTTTATTTATTTATTATTTATTTATTTATTTATTTATTTTATTTATTTATACAAGCACTGGGTACAGTCAGAAGCGCGGGAGGGTGAGAGAATTCACCAGAGCCAGAGCGGGGAGCAGAGCAGGCAGAAGGACCGAAGTACACTGCTGAGGGGAGCAGCGGGCAGCAGGGGAGGTCTGCGCGCCATGTGGGACCCTCCTCTGGTGGCCTGGGAGCAGCCGGCGATTGAACCGGCGCTGCAGAGGCTGCGGGCAGCTTCACAACCCAGAGCTCGACCGCTGTGCCACCGGGGAGGTCCTGAGCATTCAGTCTTAATAAATGTATAGAAAATAGTCATTGGACATATATGTACTATTACATAAGTACATTATGGACTCAAAATTGCATCATTTACTTTAAAATTCTAGATTCTAAAAATCTCATATATGATATAGCTATACATTCTCTTTATAAATATACCATGAGAAGGTCATAAAGTTTAATCTTTAAAATCTTTAATATTCCTGTGATAAATAACTATATTTTATTTAGCATAACTATATTTTATTTAGCATTTGGTTTCATTGTAAACTATGATTTATAATGATAGAAGCAAACATTTTTTATGAAAGTGATAACCAATGGCTATCAGAAGTTTTTTAAAAAGTATACTTAACACAATTTGTTAAAAGTATATTTTTTCCTTATATACACTTAATTCAGTATACTTAGGAAGAAAGTTTCATTTTAAATAGCTATATAATATCTGATCCCAAAATAGAAATCAGTAATTTGCTGACTAAGAGATCTTTTTTGTGCTATTTGCACAACTCATAAAGCAGCTTGTGCTTTGGCATTCACTAAATGTTACCCACTCCGGAGAGAGCATTTCCTGACTTTCCTTGTTGGAGATAAAAAAAAAAAAAAAGAAGTAAGTATTAGCTCAGATGGATTTAAAAGAGAAGCATTTACAGGAAAAAACAAATGCACATGAATTTTCTTTCTCTTCCACATACACGCCTAAATTTTAATTACTTCCATAGGTTTTTGCAATGTTATCTTTTAAGTTGTGCTTATTTTTAAACTTCAATATTCACTTCAGATAAAGCCTTGAAATCCTGTATGAGTAATTATATATCTTTACTGCATTAACAGAAAAAGAAAAACTATTTTTTCTGTTATTCTTTCAGATGTGTGATAAATGTTATATTTTTAATTTTCTCCTAAAAAGTATATATTATATTGGAGAGTACAATGGAAAGTTTTCTAATTATCCATAATTTGACTTGTTTTAGAATAAAAACTTCATAATCAGCAATTTTTATAATTGCTATCATGAAATGAGTTCTGCAAACAACATACTTAAATTTGATATCATCTATGAGAAAATAAATGAAATTAGACTTATTAACGTATTCATTTGGTTTTTGTTGAAACTATTATAGTATACTACCTACTTTTTTTTACCAATAATAATTATCATTATTCTTCTACTGTAGGTGAAGACATTAACTGAAGAATGTTCTAACAAAAAGGTTTCAATTGATTCATTAAAGCAAAGACTTGCTGTTGCTATAAAAGAAAAGTCACAGTATGAACAGATGTATCAAAAAACTAAAGAGGAGTTAGAAAAAAAGGTAAATTTTCAGGACATTTTAGAATGCATTAAATTAGAATATAACATTTTTTTCATTTCTAAAGTTTTCATTTTTTTCCTCCCCATAACAGTATAAGCTATTGAAATATTTCAGATAACTGCAAAAAACATTTACATCTATGCATGAAATACTAAGAATTTGTTTAGCAAAAGTGTTGTGTTAGAGAAGTAGATTTTGTTTGACTTGATAACATCTAATAAATAAACCATACTAAGAACTGACACTTATACAAATGGATATAAATTTTTTGGATTTACCTAAACTTATAAACTAATTAAATATTTCTTAGCTATATCGGAGCCTTTGGTCTAAAATAACTTCCATGTTTTTAATAAATTGCAATTTTTAAAGCTCATAAAGAGATGAAAGTAGGCACTCAGGTCATTTTTTTGAAGTAAATTAAAACAGCTATCATTTTACCCAAATAAAGTTAATGAATATTTAGAGTATTGAAACTGTTTATTTGGCATATATAACTCTTCCAAACCTGATTATGAATTTTTTTTTTATTCTATGATTACTGGTCTTTTGCAGGATCTCAAACTTAATCTCTTAATATCAAAAGTAAGTGAGACTGAATCAGCATTGGCAGAAATTGAAACAGCAGCATCTAAGCATCTTCAAGGATTAGCATTGCAGAGTGAGCAGGCCCTAGAAGGTGCACAAAAGAAACTACTTTTAGCCAATGAGAAAGTGGAAGAGTTCACCATGTTTGTGAAGGTTTGAATTATTTGTGATTTACTAATGTTAGCACTTTATTTCAGGCAGCGTAATCATTGACCTGCTTCAGGTAGTTTGGGGAATACTCTAGTTTTTTTCTACTTTTCTAAGCCGTAAAACATTTCCCTACCCTACTTGTCACATTTTTCAAGATTTCTATCTAAAAGATTTATTTTTATAGTTAAGTTAAAATTTTTCTTATTAATATTATTGTCTTAATGTCAATTTAGTTATAAAAAGTTATTAGTCACTGAATCAATATGGGGTTTAAGATGAAAGAATTAAGTCATTTCTGCTCTACTCTCCTTTCAAAAAATCACCTAAGCAAGAACAACCGGAAACTTGCTCCATGTTCATTGAAACTAAGGGTCATGTGTGCCGCAGTCCACAGTCTGTCTAGAGTAGAGGGATGATTAATGGCTTAGCAGAGCAGTAGGAGGACAAACTAATGTGCCTGCAAAGGGCATACCATCTTGAAATGGTCTGAAGACTGAAGAACCCCCGAGAAGTCCAGGAACTGACTACACAAGGAAGCACCAAAGCTGATGATGATGGGAAAGGGACAGGTACAGAACTAAAAATAGGTGGTTTTTTGGAAAATCTTTATAATTTTTTATTCCTTTGTTGATTTCTTCATTGACCCAGCGGTTATTCAGAAGCATTTCATTCAGTTTCAACGTGTTTGTGTTTTACCTAGTTTTCTTCTTTTGGTTGATGTCTGACTCTAAACCATTGTGATCAGAAAAGATACTTGATATAATTTCAATTTTGATATATTTTTAAGACACGTTTTATGTCCCAGCAAGGCTAGATCCTTGAGAAGTTTCAGGTGTACATGAGAAGAATATGTATTCATTTCTTTTGTGATGAAAGGCTATGTAAATATCTATAAATTATGACATTATTTTATTTGAAGTCATTATTGCCATGTTTATTTTCTGGCTGGATGATCTATCCATTGATGTAAATGGTGTTTGAAATCCTTCCTATTATTGTGTTGCTGTCAATGAGTTGTTTTAGGTTTGTTTAAAAGTTGTTTTTTATAGTTAGGTGCACCTGTGTTGTGTGTATAAATATTGATGACAAGTCACAACTTGATGTATTGGTGATTGTATGATACCTGTCTTTATTACTAATTACCTTTTTTGACTGAAAGAGTAATTTATCACAAGAGGATAGCTGTTCCTGCTTTTTTCTCTGTTTTATTGGCTTGAAATACCTTACTCCAGTCTTTGACTTTAAGTGTATGTTTGTCTTTAGATGCGCGGTAAGTCTTGACTGCTTGTATCAATGGATTATGCTTTCCATTTTTAAATCAAACATGTCATTTTTATTTGTTAAGTTTAGACCATTTGTATTTAGGTTGATTACTAATATGTGAGGCTTATTTACTGCTATTCTTCCTTTCGTTTTTATCTTTCTATTATTTCTTTTCCATGTGTCTGTTTTTTCATTTGGATGGCTTTCGCCAGTGGCTCTCTTAGTTTCATCAATTCTTTTTTTTTTAATTTTTTTTTTTATAGAGGCATGTTTTATTTGTTTGTTTGTTTGTTTGTTTGTTTTGTTTATACATGCACTGGGTACAGTCAGAAGAGCGGGAGGGTGAGAGAATTCACCAGAGCCAGAGCAGAGCAGACAGAAGGACCGAAGTACACTGCTGAGGGGAGCAGCAGGCAGCAGGAGAGGTCTGCGCGGCATATGGGACCCTCCTCTGGTGGCCGGGGAGCAGCCGGGGATCGAACTGGCGCTGCAGAGGCCACGGGCAGCTTCGCAACCCAGCGCTCAACCACTGCGCCACCGGGGAGGCCCAGTTTCATCAATTCTTATTATGCATGTCTCCATTCTAGATTTTTGTTTTGTGCTTACCATGAACTTTGTAGCAAACTTTCTATACCTATAATAGTCTTTTTTTTGTGCTGGTATCACCTCATCATCATTTGGCTATGCAGATTCTGTCCTTTTCTTCATTCCCTTCAACGTTCTGTTTTATCATATTATTTTTATATATGCTTTTGATTCCATGTTACTGTTTATCACCTTGCACAGGATTTTGTGTTCTTTTGTCTTTTCACTCAGAAAATCTTCTTTTAACACTACTTTGTAGGGCAGGTCTGTGGTGGTAAACTCTATTAGCTTTTTTGGGGAAAATCTTTATTTTTCCATCATATTTGAACGATAATTTTACAAGATAAAGTATTTTTGACTGGTAGTTTTTTTTCTTTTAGAATGACATATAGGGCCCTCCCCGGTGGCACAGCGGTTGAGCACTGGATTGCGAAGCTGCCCACAGCCTCTGCAGCACCAGTTCGATCCCCGGGCTCCGGGCGAGGATTCCACATGGCGCACAGACTTCTTTGGCCACCCGCTGCTCCCCTCAGCAGTGTACTTCGTCACTCTGTCTGTTCTGCTCTCCACTCCATCTCTGGTGAATTCTCTCACCCTCCCTCGCTTCTAACTGTACCCAGTGCTTGTATAAATAAATAAATCTTTAAAAAAAAAATAGTATGACGTAGAAATATGTCTTCTAACCTGGAGAGTATGTGCTGAGAAATCTGATAAAAGTTTGAGATGCACTTGAATGTTACATTCTTTTTTTCCTATAACAGCCTTTTATATTTTTATAAGTACTTTTTTTTCATAGCTTAACTATATGTTTTGGTGAAGGTTGTTTTGTATTTAGGAAATTTAGGTATTATTTCACCTTCCTGGACATCCATGTGTAATTCTTACCTTAGGTTTGGTAAATTGTCAGCTATTAGTTCTTTAAATAGCATCTCTGCTTCATTCTCTCTTCACCTTCTGGAATACCAAGTATCCTTGCATTTCCTCTTCTAATGGCATCTGATAATTCCTCATCATTTCTTCATTTTTTCTAAATCTTATCTCTCGCTCTCTGTCCACTTGGGTCATTTATAAATTTGTATATTTGATTTTAGAAATTTTCTTTCTGTCAGCTTAAGTCTGCTTAATATATTTCCATATTTGTTCTCATTTCATTCAGTATCTTTTTGTGTGTGTGTTTTAATAGCCATCAGTATCTTTAGTGAAGAACTCTTTCTGTTCCTTGTTCTCTTTTCTAAGATACTGAAGGCACCTTTCTGTGTTTGATTGCCCTTGTAGGTACTCATTGAGCTTCTTAATGATTGTTATTCTAACATACTTTCCTGTTAGATCCTCAAATTTGTGCCCTTTATTTAGGTCTCTAGACTTCTTTTATCTTTCAGCTTCTATCTTTTATTTAGATGTTCCTTGTTTCCTAGGCAAGTGTGTTACCTTACTTGCTTTTTACCAGTTGAGGCACTATGTCTCTACTTTTGTATCTTCTTTGCTTTTCATTATGACAGGTGAGAGAGAGGTGGTGTTACCGGGCAAGGTGAGGGGCACCCTGGAACCCCCAAACCTGCCTGCTCTAAGTAGGTTTTGCCATCCACTGCATCAAAACAAAACATACTGTAGTATGGAAAGGAACTTTAATAAAATTAGCGTGCAATAAAGAGAAGAAAAGGGAAAGAGTAGATAAAATAGTTTTCGCATGAAACACCCAATGTTACCCATCCCCTCACGGCTAAATGCCCAGCCAAACAGGGTTGGCTCAAAGCACGATCACTGAGGCCCAAAAGCCTGCCACAAGTCTAAGGCACTTTCTGGTGGGACTATAAGAAAAGGGCAGAAGGGGCCAGACAAGTCTGGAGGGAAAAGAGCAAAATCAAAATCAAGATAAATGCTTCCATTGTTAACCTCCCCATAGGTCTGTCACCCACATCTGTTTCAAGTGTCTTCTTCCATGTCCCCCAAGTCCCTGATACAAGTCCAAGGCCGCGAAGCAAACACAGCTTTTCACATGTGTCTCTGCTCCATGTGCCTCCTCAGGTCTCCTCCTTGCTTCTGCCATCTTTCTTCCTTCTTCCATTTTCCTCTCCAGCTTCTCCTTCTCAGCTCTGCCTCCTATGGGTAGGACAGGGAACCTGGAACCTCTCCTTTCCCTGGCACTACCCTGGTACAGTGGGAGATTGTAGTTCAAAGGTTTGGTGTCAGTCTTGGTGGAAAGAAAAGACTACTTGAGGTGGAGTGTTTTACACTGTCTCTTCGCTCCTTTCTCCAAAGCAAGCACTTTTTACTGCTTCATAAAGCCCAAATTCGTGGGCCCAACTTCCTTGCCATTCCCTATCATGATGATCATCAGATGTCTCTTTCTGATTTCCCAGCAGGGAAGAGGGAGGGAATTCTGCCACCCACACTATCAGAAGCCTGATTGTCTGCTACTGAACCATCAGTCCCAACCCCTGTGTGTATATATGTCTGTACTCCCCCCAATGAAAAGATTTACCAAAAACATTCACCACATATGGTCTGTGTGCCACACTGTCTGTGTACATTCCCTAGCTTGTTTTTCTCACTGCATGGCTATTGTCTTAGCCACAACTCCCTTTGCCTCTCCCTTTTCCACTCCCACAGCAAATGAACCACCAGCCTCAGAGCAGAATATCCGTGGGTCCGTCCCTGGTTGCCAGTGAGGAACTGGTGAAATTTCCTGTGAGTAAGATTTATCTCTTCCTTGCTGTACTCAGGAGAGAGATTTATCAATACCTCCCTATTCCACCATATTGTGGGAGGAGTCCCTCAAATTAGTATTTTTTTGTTTGTTTGCTTCCCTCTGTAGATTTATTGGATAGCTTGGAATCTCTAAAACCCCTGTAGAGAAGATACTCAACACTTAGAATATTTTAAAATTGCTTCACTCCCTTAGGTACTTTTTCCATTAGCTAATGATTGTATGTATAAGTAATTACTGCCCTGTGCTTATAAACTAAATATAATATGAAAAATAATTGAATTTTATATAAAATTGGAATGAATATTAATATATATAATATGCCATATTCTTCATTCCTCTAAAATTAGGAGCTTACAGCATTTTTAAAATTTTTGTTTATTTTTGTATAGAACTGGAGTGTAGGGCCTCCCTTGGTGGTGCAGACAGTTGAGTTCAGCGCTGTGAAGCTTTCAGCAGCCTCTGCAGTGCCGGTTGGATCCTGGCCGGGGAGGGTCCAACATGGCATGGCAGACCTCTCCTGTCGTGCCCACTGCTCCCCTCAGCAGTGTATTTCATCAGTCTGCCTGTTCTGTTCCCCATTCTGTCTCTGGTGAATCTTCTCACCCTCCCGTGCATCTGGCCTGTACCCCGGTTCTTGTATAAATAAATAAATAAATCTTTAAAATAACAAAAGAAAGAACTGGCGTGTAGACCAGAGGTGTGGGGGGATGAGAGGATTCACCAGAGCCAGAGTGAGGAGCAGAACAGGCTGCTAAGGGGAACAGCAGGTGAGACAGGAGAGGTCTGCTGTACCATGTGGATTAGCTCCCTGGCCAGGGATCAAACTCAGGCTATAGGGGTGATAGTGCTGAGACAACTCCTAGGTCACCAGGGAAGCCCTACAAATAGGAGCTTACAGCATCTTATTCTAGTGTTAATGGTACTCCATTGGGAACAAATCTTTTGCTTTGTTTCTTTGAAAATTATAGATACCTTGGGAGTTTTCTTATCGTAAAAATATCTACAAAATGAATAGAATAAAACATTTTATCTTTTTTAACAAAGGTTTCAACTGGTGTAAATTCAAACCAATATTGTTTGTCTCAGAGGACCCTAAATGATTGCAGAGTATTAATTTTAGTAAATCTAATTTACCTTTCCATATTTAAAATGTCATTTTCTTCCAGATGCTTATTGAATAGTTTCACTGTTTAACTTGTGATAAGTATTTCCATTGAACATTGTCAATATTTATAATGTAGAATCATGGCACTATTTTACTTATAATTTAGAATCACTTTTATTAAGAATTTTAGTTTTGTAAGCCTTTGTTTCTTGTTTTACATTCTACTTAGCATTTGATTGCATTTTTAGCCAAGATAGAAGATAAAATACACACTTATAAGATCTACTTAGAACTTAATTATTACTCCTGAAATATTCTTTGAGTATGTTCTTTAAAAAAAAAAAGTTATAACCAGAAATTCTTCAAATAGAAGAATGAAATTCATAATTAGATATCTGAGTATTATAGTCTTAACAAAGAGTCATGACTTTTGTGATAATGTAATGGTTGTACTTTATCACATAAAGTAGTTTAGCAAAAATTTTCTTTTTAAAAAAACAAAATTTTTTATTTTTTAATTTTTATTTATGATCAAGGACATAAATGATATTTTTTTAATTTATTTTTTTTATATTCCCCATACAATTGCATCCCCCTGATTTTAACCCCAGTCCCTCCTTCCCCCCCCCCAAAGTGTGTCTCTGGTTCATAGTTGTTTGTTGATTTTGATTTTTTTCTTTCTTACAGTTATTCTTTTTCCTGGTCCCTTATTTAGGTTTTCTAGATTCCTGTAATGAATGAGACCATCCAGTATTTTTCTTTTTCTTTCTGGCTTATTTCGCTGAGCATGATCCCTTTCAGCTCCATCCATGTTGCTGCAAATTGCAAGTGTTTATCTTTTTTGAATGCTGAGTAATATTCCGTTGTGTATATTTACCACATCTTCTTGATACAGTCACATGAATGATATTTTATGATAAAATGAGTATCTAACCTCTAGTTAGTCATTCAACAGTGACAAATTAGTCCTTCATATTTTTCACCAATAATGAGTAAATGTCTTAATAAAGTCAGGATTGATGTGATTTCATAACTTTTGAATTTCAGTAACATATTAAAGGTTATAAAATTGGGAAAGATACCTCTGGATAAGCAAATTTTAATTGTCTTTCAGAACTTTTCCATTTTATTTCAGTTTAGTGTTTAGATTGTACTGTAATCATCTGATTATATTGCATTTAATGAAAATTCATATTGATTTAAAATTTATATTGATGAGGCCCACGGATAAGTTAATTAGGTGATAATTATGCATAATACGGTTTTTAAAATACTGCCTTATAAATTGTATTTTATAAATTGAATCTGTGTAGAAACATGTATCAGTTTGTTGTTTAATGGCAGCTTCATCACTTCTATTGGTAATTTGACATTTGCTTTTCTTAACTGTGTTTTAGGGCCAACATGTAGTTGATACTGGTACCACTTCAGCTCTCTGTAATCTGTTTTTCTAATAAAAGGCCACCAGCAAATTTGTGCCAAACCAGAAATATTGGGAAAGACTGGGCTATTGTTTCTTAGGTACCAGATGACCATCATCTTTATCTTCCTTATACATTTATTAGCCTTATCACTAGGTAGGAATGATCAGAAGTCACCCTCTGAAGCAACATGCCACCAATTGCCAACATATCAAACACTAATTGTATTGCATTAGAATTAAACTCCCACCTTTTAAAAAATTTAAGACCTCTCATAATTTGACCTGCTTAGAATCTAATATTTCCCATGACTCTAACTTTTGCCTATACTATTAGAGCTTGTGTTCATTCCAGACTTTGCCCAAGTTCTTGTTTGACATACCCTTCCCTCTTGCCCTTTGATATAAAGTTTTCAGATTTATCTCAGTGGTTTCCTCTTTCTTTCATTAGTCCTTTACTCTGTGGTTAGAGGAAAGAGACCTAATCTGCCAGTAATTAATTACATAATCTCAGGCAAATGACTTAATCCTCTATGCCTCAGTTTCCCCATCTGTAAAATGATGTAATTATGGAATATATCTGAGCAAGGGTTTAAGTAAATTAACATAGATAAAGCACAAAACATTGCCCACATGCTATCTAAGTATCAGCTAGTAGTTGTCATTGTCCTCTTCTGGCTCTCATTTATCTCCTGAGTATTTATTATAAGTGCCACATAAATTAACACTTTAAATGCCTTTTTGTTTTTGTTTCAAGTAGATTGTAGCTAATCTGAGGGAAGGGATTTTGCCATTCATTATCCTCAGAATACTGAGTCGTAATAGGGCTCATTAAACTCTTGAAAAATTGATTTTGTATCTGCTTCAAGAATTGTCCTGGACACATAGTCACTGCTTAGATTGAAGATTCTGCAAAGGCAAGAGCTATGCACATTCCTTAATGAGCATAATTAAATAATGCACTTAGTTCCTACGTTAAATGTTATGATCAACAGGACTCATTCTATGCAGAACTTATTAGGGTACTATGTACACAAAAGTACTTAATAAATATTATTAGTAGTATTAATAGTAATAATGTTTGTTCTGGCCCTGTTGTGGAATCTGTGTTCCCTTTAGTCTTTTCATTTATTCATATGGCACAGCCAGATTATAGAAGAGGTGGAGTAGCCATCTGTTCTAGATCTAATCCTGAGTATGGAATTTTGCCCTGGGGTAAAATCAAGTGCTTTGAGCATCTGGGCTGGATATATGTGGCAGGGCTGAGACTTTGAATTCTCCTAATAATGGAATAAAACACACAAGGGAAATTTCTAGAAGTATTTGCTCAGTTTGATTTAACCCTGATAAGACTTGTTAATATGCTTGTATTTGAGGGTCATATGCCAAATTCCATCATCTCAATGGTTTTTATTAGATATGAAATAAATAACCACAGAATAGAAATTAATTGGAAGCTTAAATCATAATTATTAATATATACTTTCTTTGGTAAGATTTAGTAAAGTGTTTTGGGCATATAAATTTTTTGCTTCTATAATGAGAACGTTTGTGGAGCATTGTAATTTTATTTCTATATGTACAATTGTTAATCCTCTATTTTTTAATTCTGATTTTCTTCTGCTCTTTTTCTAGCTTTTATGATATACTTAGCATATAATGTGTTAGTGTAAGGTTTATAAAGATGACTTGATACACACATATGTTATGAAATCTTTACCACAGTAGGGTTAGTTAGCACATCCTTTACTTAATTGCCTTGTTATTCTTACTGCTGCTGTGGTGATGACATTTAAAATCTACTCTTATTGCACCTTTGAAGTTTACAATACAGTATTGTGAATCATAGTCACTCTGCTGTACATTATATTCTTCTCATCTTCTCATTCTATGTCTTCACTTATTTTATTTAGCATAGTGCTATTAGGATCAGTCCATGCTGTCACAAATGGCAGGATTCCCTCCCTTTTTCGTGGTCAAATAATATTCTCTGTGTATGTGTGTGTGTGTAACATTTTCTTTATCGATCCAATTGTGAATAATGATGCATAAAAAATGGGACTGTGTTTTTGGTTTTGATTAACATTTTGATGATAGCAAGGTTGAGCACCTTTCATGTGTTTGTTGGCTTTTATATGTGTTCTTTGGAAAAATGCCTTTTCAGGCCTTTGCTCATTGTTTAATTAGATTATTTGGAATTTTTACAGTTGAGTTGTAGTAATTATACATAGTTTGAAATCTGGAAGTGTCTTACCTCCAGTTTTGTTCTTTCTCAAGATCGTTTTGACTGTTCAAGGTCGTTTAGGATTGTTTTTTCTGTTTATATAAGAAATCCCAATGAGATTGTGCTAGGGATTGCATTTGACTTATAGATGACTTACATTAATTCTTTTGATCCATGAGCATGGGATAACTTTTCATGTATTTGTAGCTTCATTTTCTTTCATCAGTGT